ACAATGTGTTATTGTAGGGGACATGTATTGTATCATGACTAGACAGTGTCTTGTGGTAGGGGACATGCATTGTATCATGACTAGACAATGTGTTGTGGTAGGGGACGTGTATTGTATCATGACTAGACAATGTGTTGTGGTAGGGGACATTTATTGTATCATGACTAGACAATGTGTTGTGGTAGGGGACATGTATTGTATCATGACTAGATAATGTGTTGTGGTAGGGGACATGTATTGTATCATGACTAGACAGTGTCTTGTGGTAGGGGACATGTATTGTATCATGACTAGACAATGTGTTGTGGTAGGGGACATGTATTGTATCATGACTAGACAATGTGTTGTGGTAGGGGACATGTATTGTATCATGACTAGACAATGTGTTGTGGTAGGGGACATGTATTGTATCATGACTAGACAATGTGTTGTGGTAGGGGACATGTATTGTATCATGACTAGACAATGTGTTGTGGTAGGGGACATGTATTGTATCATGACTAGACAATGTGTTGTGGTAGGGGACATGTATTGTATCATGACTAGACAATGTGTTGTGGTAGGGGACATGTATTGTATCATGACTAGACAATGTGTTGTGGTAGGGGACATGTATTGTATCATGACTAGACAATGTGTTGTGGTAGGGGACATGTATTGTATCATGACTAGACAATGTGTTGTGGTAGGGGACATGTATTGTATCATGACTAGACAATGTGTTGTGGTAGGGGACATGTATTGTATCATGACTAGACAATGTGTTGTGGTAGGGGACATGTATTGTATCATGACTAGACAATGTGTTGTGGTAGGGGACATGTATTGTATCATGACTAGACAATGTGTTGTGGTAGGGGACATGTATTGTATCATGACTAGACAATGTGTTGTGGTAGGGGACATGTATTGTATCATGACTAGACAATGTGTTGTGGTAGGGGACATGTATTGTATCATGACTAGACAATGTGTTGTGGTAGGGGACATGTATTGTATCATGACTAGACAATGTGTTGTGGTAGGGGACATGTATTGTATCATGACTAGACAATGTGTTGTGGTAGGGGACATGTATTGTATCATGACTAGACAATGTGTTGTGGTAGGGGACATGTATTGTATCATGACTAGACAATGTGTTGTGGTAGGGGACATGTATTGTATCATGACTAGACAATGTGTTGTTGTAGGGGACATGTATTGTATCATGACTAGACAATGTGTTGTGGTAGGGGACATGTATTGTATCATGACTAGACAATGTGTTGTTGAAGGGGACTTGTTATGTAGCACATTACACACACATACATTGGGATTCAATTCTACATGACACCCTTTATTGGTTATCTCTCTTCTTATGATGGTGAAATTCCATTTGTGTCTTGTCAATTGCTTACTTTTGGCGAGGCATATTTTAGAACAGTATAACTCATGACGCAAATAAATAATTAATCTAAACAAATTGCAAAATAACACATTTAATCAATGCAATTATATTTACCCATTTTAATCAATTCACTTTTATTATAATAACACACATAATAAATTCGTTTTTGAATAAAAATTAAAAGAAGAAATGTATTTGCTTAGCATAATATAAAACAAAATATTAATTTCATTTAAGACCTTGATTATTTTTGACATTTTACAAAATTAAACAATAATGATGAATACTTGCATGCTATACAAGAACAATACACATAATTTATCCATATAACATAGGTTGTTTACCTGCACATGTAAACTCAAAGGCATAGCCTGTATCTGGATTCATTTCATAATTGTCAATTATATCATTGGCCCCGGTAAAGCAAAGAGACTTTGCAATCCTACTATTACCGTTGAAATATATACCGGCATTCGATCCATAGTCATCCAGAGGAGTAAGCGAAATCTCAAAGTTGGAGTTTGTGATGTTGAATACGCCCGATTGAAAATCCTTGGAAACAGTTCTAAAAAAAACCAGTATATTTAATAACTATACTTATGATTTAAAGCAATCGTAGAATTTAGTACATTTGCTCCTTTTTATCAAGTCCGTGTTTTCGTGTTTCTTTTGAGAAAACAAAGACTTGAACACAACTTAAAGTATAATGTTAGTTCACGCATAATTCACCTTCCAGGAGAGTTTCGCACTAAGGAACCTGCATACTCTTTCAATTGAATGATAAATTGAAAGTAAAAGATAATCATGAAGCACCTATATAATTATGAAAATGAAGTTTCTGACAAAATTAGCTTATACCAGATCATATCATTCAATTTATCTACTTCAAAGAGTTTTCGAATACAAACGATGAACAATTTTATGTAATGCAAATTTGTCCAATAAAGTCCTGACACTACAAATTCATACCATACTCTGTTTCTGTAGTTCTGACTAGAACAAATCAAGAAATTTCTACTGGAGTATATAGAATAATCTGATAAAATATCAAGCAATTGAAACATTGTATAATACATGTCACTTCATGTTGCGTTGCTTATTGTTATCATTTCGGTAAATACAACATTTCCTACGTAGAAGTTAATCTGTTTATTTACATGTGATTTGATCAGAAATATAGTATCGCGTAATATATCCAGTTCACTCCATATCACATGTAGAAATTACCTGAACATGATTTCTATGAAAAAAGTGGTGAATTTGTTTTTTAATTGTCACCAAGACAGCTCATAAACTGTAAGAAAATTGTCAGCCACATGATGAAGTCATACTAATATAATGAAATATCTTTCTTAACTCCTTGAAGAAGACGTTAACGTACTACTGTACATCAACAGTTTAACCGAATGCAATGTTACGTTTAAACACTTAAAACGAATTTCTCTCTTGTATTGCGAACATTTTATTCCAAAAGGGTGACATTTTCGATCTCGGATAATGAGCTCTCCTATTCTTTACGGTACATTCTTTGTAACACCCCCAATTTCATCATCTACGCTGACTACATACCTCGGGCTATTTCGTATCTAAGGTTTCTGTAATCACTTAAACAAAATAACATATTTAGACCCTTCTCTAACTTCACCCCCTCATTTCTTAATGTAGGGACCAATGGATACGAAAACTTATTACCATTTCATGATGCCCTAACCTTAGACTTTATTTCTGCAAAAATAATGCTTATCAGTCATCAAAGTGGGCACCCATCCTTTATGGACGTAATGTAAATGGTCGATAGAAAGACTGCACAAAGACATAGCATATTTCTCCAGGACATAAATAGAGGTTACACAACAAGTGGTTGTTGAATATGGTTTTTATTTCACTCGAATTAGTTAATTTTCAAAAGTTACAAAAGACACTAGCTTTAGCGAGTGTTTTTCTGTAACTTTTGAAAACTAACTAACGAGATTGAAATAAATACCATACTTAACAACTACGAGTCGTGTGATCTGCTTCTACCACAATCTCAGTCGGAAACAGCTGGAGTATTTCTTGATTTGAATAACGTACACTCATGTGTTTGTTGACAAGGCTGGCGTAGTGATATGACCCATAAAAAGTCACTCATTAATATTCAAAAATTAGTTTTTTTACAAATTCAGTAATTTTCAAAATTAATGTTTCGGCAACAACTTTGTGAAAAAATATAATAAATGAACGACTTTAAGTATTGAGAGTATGCAATATTGCAGTAATTAATATAAATTAACCACGGACTATATGCGCGTAAGCATATCGTACGAAGTCTGCCTCCCGCCAAGTGATGAAGACGAACTAATCGCTGTCACTGTCCAAAACCATAGGCCTTGGACGTTTCTTCGTGAGGTTCTATGGTTGACGTGAGAGTTCCACCATAGATATACTCTCCAAATATTGATAACGGGACGTGGGGAGAACGAAATATTTTCCGACACTGCTACAGATCTTGTTTTGGGTTTCACGACTCGGACACGCGACGGTATGGCGTCGAAACGATGACGAGCGACTGTAGGAATTTTGCCTGAATCTAGCGATCAAATCTTTAAGTATCATCTTTTTTTATTATTGCCTTAATAACCTCCTTTTCCCATCGCATAACCTCACAAAAGTCACCAACATTTGCCGGATGTTGACAGCAGATGACGTAAACAAACTGCACGCGGCAAAAAGCGCGTGAAAAAAGTCGTCCGGTCAAGGTTCATCTTCTCGACCAATCAAAACTACGGAAGGACATATATCACGTGTGGTGTATAACTCATATTTATTAAACAGTCTGCATGTTTATACAATGATCTGAGAGTGGAATAATACAGCGTATTGTGGTAGAATAGTAGCAAACACATAACCTTTTTTCAATGTCCTCATTTGAATATTTCATATATACTTTTTAAAAATATGTCACTATTTTTGCACTAGTTTAGTCAATTTTCAATCTCATTAAAATCAGATGTTAACAAAAAAACCTACGGCTATTAACGTTCATGCGGTACGTAATAAAGAACAGCTGTATTTATTCAGATTGGTCAATTTTTAGTTCGCATTAAGATTTTGTTCACACTTGGCTTAACTCCCGCAATATTTTTATTTACCAGGAATTAGTTTAACAGCTCTTTTTTTCTAATCGTTACATACCATGTAGTTAAAAAGAATATATAAATTGTACTGTACTACTCTTAAATAATAATAATATACAACATTTGATACAGCACCCTATCTAGCTAGAATGAGCCACTTTAAAGCGCCTTACAATAATAGATATACAATTGATACAATTAATACAATTATCATATACATTATTCAATACAATTTCGAGGAATTCGCAGGAGCTGCCTTATCAGGCGCTAACTATTAGTCCTATACCACCTTGCTAATATCTCCCTATGTGTGTATGCCTGTGTGTGTGCTGGATATGTATTGTGTTCTGTTTGTAGTGGGACCGTGCTCGAGCGGTAGCATTGATAGTGCCACCTCACTTGAATGTTACAGCACAGATACCGCAAAATCCACAGACTAAAAGTAACAATTAGAATAAGAAGAGTACCTTTTACTGCAAGAAACTCCTTGTGGAACGATAAGCGCACCTTCTAGTCTCGTAGAGATAACATCGTCATTGTCTGGATTTTCATAAGGGCATCTGTATTCTATGCACGCCGCTCTATTTATCACATTACCAGCTTTTGGATCCTCCTTTGGTCCGGAAATCATCCGTCCGTAAAAAAAATTGCTTTTGTTATTATAGCTGTCCAGGGTGATACTAACGTTGTAGATTGGTGTCTGAAATAGAAAAATGTTACGGCAAATATCAATTAGATAATTCAAAAATGATATGTTTCATACAGTGTTGGTTTAAACGATTATCTTCGGGTAAGTGCAGCATTATTTTAATAAAAGACAATTAACATATAGGTCAAGACCAGTAATATTTCACTATTCGATAGATACCATATGTCAATGCTTGACAACAGATTGTCAAGCGTTCACATATGGTATCCCATACTCGGTACTCCAGGGGTTACGCTCAACGTGGCTCTCTGCACCCCTAGAATTTGTCATAGGAAAATTGAGGTCACGAAGATAGCTGTTTGATTGGTCTCAGGTAAAAAAAACCCTGACTAATCGCTAAGGCTGTCACCTGTCCTAATTACAAAGGAGCGGCACCCGATTTTCAAGTCAGTACATTTTTATCGTTACGCGACCGCGAGATTCCTTTGATGTGCATCATATGATCGAACTAGTCTTCTTGTCTCATCAACAAGGTGGCGCACATTGAACCTTTGATTTTGCTATGACATATTTCAGGGGTGCAGGGTGCGAAGGTGAGCATAAGGCCTGGAGTATCGAGGATGATGTGATGATCTCAACGGTTAAATCAAAGAAAGCATTGAGGTCATAAAATCCGTAAGACACGGTGCACAGGGCCCAGTTGTTCAAAAGGTGGTCAGCTTAATCACAGTTTTACCACATTTCAACCGTTAATCATTTTGTCAATATACAAAGTAAAACCTTACAATTTCGCATGCTAATCACCTTTTGAACAACTGGGTCCTGGTCTTTTATCATGGAAGACAGTGAGTAAATGAATACAGACCTGAACTTTAACCTTTATGTAGCAAACCTTATAATCAGGTTCACCCTCACGGAGTGGGTACCAGGATTCCTCGTAAGAATATTTGGATGCATTGGGATTTTTTTCCAATTTGTCCGGTTGTCCAAGGAAATGAAATCCGATGTAAAAACCGCCTGGTTGTGAACGTTTACACTCCGGAAGATAACCTTTTGTATAAACAGGACCAGGTGGGTCAAAGAAGTTTGGAATCTGGATGACATTTGTTAGCTTTATCTCGGTTGCACTTAATATTGTGCTGTTCAATTTTGTTGGCAGTGTTTGATTATTGATCAGGTTTAAACGCTCAATTCCAGAATCGGCAAATATTAAAGCATTTTTTCTGCATATTGTTCGAGCACATGCGTTTCCTTTGGAATCGGTCCGTACTTCAGTATACCCCATGAAATCATCCGGTGTCTTCGGATCTATCACTAATGCAAACACAGACACATTAGTTGCTGGGTACTTCATTGCTGAACTCTTGAAGACTTTAACATTGACGTAGCAGTAATACAGACGGAGACCATTCAACATGGGGGCTTCAGTCAAGTAGTTCACTTGTACATCGTAAGTAGAGTATGTTCCATTGTCCAGAGTGAAGTTTCGTGCTTTGGTGGCACGAACGTTATGGGGCAGTAGTGATTTGTATCTGTGCAAATTGCTGGCCACTTCTGGAAAACAAAATTAACAGCTTAGTTTTATCGAATATTTATACCGAATTATCTACACCACACGACAATTCACGCCGATTAGCATATTATGATGTTGCTGTTGACACTATTTTCAAATCAATAGGGAATATCTAATAATGATTACACGTTTTGATTACCGTATCACGACAGTGGTAGATTAATCCAATATATTCACCGGTGCGCTAGTCACGTAATGAAATTATAAATTCAATTATATTACGTATAATTTACATAACAGACTTGTCTGAAATATGGTCACTTAACATATCTTTGTGGGGTAAACTAATATCGATTGATTCCTTTCCAATTAGATGTTTTGTAAATACTCGAGAAGATTTGATCACCATACTTTATGTTTAACCAGTCACTATTGTCAAGCTCTCATTGGAATGACATAAGTATCCTCCGTGTATTTATTACATAAACTGACATATACGGCAGTTTTGGTGCGTTGATGTAAAATTATAAAGGTCACATTCTGTAAGATGTTCGTCAGGGGCAATTTCATCTGTTCTTCTTTAATCATTATTGGAGGTATTTCAAATAGTGCATGGGGCATAAACTCGGGTTATCATTATTTGAGATATCCATCCCATTCTTCAATAAAGATTTCTTCCATCCAGTCTTGTTGGCGTGGTGGATTCTGACGACTACCTTCTTCATTGTATGTAAACTTACTCCTATAACCTTAAAGATACACGACTTTCCATTCAGGGTAAATAGTTAAATAAACAAAAAATAATCTAACTTGTATATTAAACAAATCCTAATAAAATCAAAAGGAGTATCAACAAAGTAATAGTAGTAATACTAACAGTATCAATCATCAAGAACAATTTGTATATCAAACTCGGAATGTTTTCTTATCAGAAGCATGTGGTACGTTTAGGAGTTGGTGAGAAAAATGATTACTGAACGTACATGTATGGCAGAGTCCAAGTATTGTTGACTGTTTTTATGTCATATTTTTCTGGCAAAATTATTAAAACTATAAATTAAATAGAAGGAATGTGTGTCAGCGCTCACTCTTAATTTTAATTTATATTAGTTAAAGTATTTCAGGGAGCTTTAGTTCTAACAAGAGTACAACAAACAAACATGTGAAAGAAAGTGTTCGACAGGATGCTCCCGTTGACTTTGCTTAATCTATCTTTCCTTTTGTGACCTATCAGTGTTGAACAATTATCTGCCCGTTTCCAATGAAATGTTAAAAAGGTTTCTATTGATTTCGGAAGGCAAATACCTAAATATAGTTTTTAAAAAACAAAACAAAAATTGATACTATTTAAACTACGTTTTGTTTATATATCATGTCAGTTACAAAAATATTGTACAATTCATCATAATAAATTTTGTATTAAAGTGATTTTTTGGAGAAAATCCCACTACTGATGGTAAAATGTTAGATACTGTTAAAAAGGTCATTGATTATGTTCTTTATAGTGAAAGACCATTTAGTTGTAGTAAGTATTATTTGAAATACAATGCATATTGTTTTAAAGAAGCATGATGTCCTTTAATTATTGCGAAACGGTTTAGGGGGTCCTGCAGTAACATTTATAATTCATTTACAAAATATGTGTCACTTTGGCATATATTTCATACCAATTAATTGAATTGTGCCTAAAATTTCAAAATTTCTTGTGATCCACCATGCATAGTCTTTTGCACAGTCTTTATAAGGAGTTTTATTTAACGCATTATATAACTATTTATAACACTTTATATCTTTGGCTGTCAAAGCATATTAAAAAATGTGCAGGACTTACTTGGTTGGCTCAAGACGAAATTTGGAGAAACAAACACTACAAGTAGCATCAAGCTTAAGAACCAACCGCCAGTCATTCTATAACAAATAAAATACATTATGTGATGGTCATAATTAGACCGAAAACAACATACTGAAAGATAGGTTACGTTTAAGAAGTTCATTTATAATATCTAATTAATAAATGTAAATTAAAATTTAAGCATAAAACAATACCTGTGTTTTCTGTCTTATTCGTAGACTAGAGTGTTTGATAGTGACCTAAATAGATAACGGTGCTCGAACTTAGATAATAACATGTCTAGCTTTGTGCAGAATGCACTGTAAACCTAGCAGGAATAGATTGGGCCTATAGGTCCTAAAATTTCACGATTACTTTTGTTCTTATATGATTTTTTTGGTTCCCTGCATTCAAACGCTGTAGTTTATTTTTGTATTTTACTTTTTAGATTACTTAAACCATTAATGTAGCCATGCTACTATATGACTGTTCATTGCTAATGACAAAATATTTTAATAAAAGAATGATAATTAAGTGCCATTGATAATGATTCGACGTTTGCACGTTAACATAGTCTGTATATTGTTCATTTTACATGTTTAGCTCTCATGTACTCTTACTGAAAAAAAAAAAATCTTGGTTCAGTATAATGACATCAATTGCAAGCTCCCCCTTTACTTATCTCTTGCTCTTATCACAGTGCATGTTGTTGCCATATGTTTATTCAGTTTTTGTTCACATCCATGTCACTTCCTTATTTGTGATTGATTTGTTTTTACTATTTCTATATAGAGTGAGGTAAATGACCGAGAAACTTCTACGCTAATCCTATTTTGTCTTTTTGTATCGAGTTTGAGTAGTTTTAGATATACAACACCGTTCCAAAATTAAGAACACAAAGTTTAAACAATCCTGGGTAAATACATAATTTAAAAATCCCACCTGAACTTTGTAATCAACACCTTAAAATCAAACTGAAAAACAATTAAACTAGGGCAGGCAAAATAAGAGAACAAAAATAATACACGTTCCATTCTTGGAAAAAAAGGGAAGTTAAGTATGAACCATGGTGGTGTCCAGAATGGAAATGATACATTTTCCGATCGAACACACCTTTTGGAGAAAAGTATGTTCCATATTAATAAAAAGATATTTTTAGTTCTTCAAAATATGCCTTCAATTTGTTACTTTTTGACGTACACAGTACCACAATACGACTGTAATAAATGTTAAATTGCATCATATTAAGGATGGCAGTAAGATCATCGTTAGATAGAGCCCCAGGAGGGAAACTAACATAGTTAGCGATAAGAGTGTTTCAAAGGACAGAGCATATCTACATATACTTATCAAGTAGATCGTTGAGTGTGTTTTCTACATCGGTGTCAAGGAATACAGACTTCAGAAATTTCTATCTTGAATGTTCAAGCTGTTGATACTTTTAAAATTGATGGATCTAAAATGTTAAACGCACTCTAAAAAATAATCGAAGTCAGTAGGCCCACGTTTTGCACATTGCCTGAAGTAGATTTCATCAGAATATATAAATATCTTGATAATAATTTTCGAGTTGATAGTGTAATTTTCTCAATACTTTGACCTATTCGTTTGAAGCCCTCAATTATTGATAGTTTACAATGGTTGACTAATATAATAAGAAAATGCTGAAGAAGGAGTTAACCTAAGGTCATCCAAAATGTAGCAATTGTAGAGTGTGCTTGTAGTTGAAATAATGTTTACATGTTACATGTAGCTTTGACCGACTCTTTGGAGTAAATTACTGATGTTAATAATATGTGACCCCTTGTTGGCGAATTCGACATTAGTAAAAAGACGAGTAATTCGAGGAATGTCAACATTATTATCTCTTTGAGAAAATTTTCTATTTATTTGTGCAGTCTCTGTCTCGATTACATGCGTGCAAGTTTTAATAAATTGCGATTTCAGCTTTTCAACATCATTTTAAAACGAAATCTTCACATTTTTCTGTGTACTTAATCGTCGATGACAAACATATTTGTGTTAATCTTTTATTTTCTTCTTGCATCTTTTACAAAAGGGGAATAACTCTGGCGAGGCGAGCTAATATTTCTCTTATGTAGAGTTTAATCCATTTCAGTGTTTCTTGAAATTAATTGATTTGATAGCAATGATTCGATTATACAATCGTACGCCTTATGTCATTTACATTAGTTATAACAATTAAAACTGAGCATCTCAAACGAGAACAAATCTTTGGATATCTGTTTCATATTACCTAACGGTGAAAACAACAGATCTGCAGTATTAATACCTAAAACTGGACTCTTCAAGTTGCCACCCACCGCACATTACATGTCGTGCTCCAAAGGTAAATCCCGGAAATAAAACCGTTTTGTCGTTCTCTCCAGAGATGCTTCATTGAGTTTGATTTAAAGCAACGAAAGAGGAAAAACAGAAACTGCCTTTGCATGCAGACAGAAAGTCCGTTGCGCAGTTCATTTTATTTTTAAAAAAAATCGATATTCTAAAAAGCAGTTTTATTTCTTTTGGTTATCTCCCTTTGTAAGAAAATGTGGTTAATAAAGTTCGTTTTGTGATGTAGGATCATAAGCTGTCTTTCATTAGGAACAGGTATATTTGAAGTATGAGAAAATATGAAATCATCTTTGTTGTTTGTCGTGGAGTGTTTTGAAGATGTAAGACCTTTTTCAAGGTGACATTGCCCAGATGTGATAAAGAACGAAAATGTTAGTGTATACGTGGTGCTGGGACCCGTCGTTGCATAGTATTAGAAACATTTGAAGCCACAAACACCAGTGGATGCCTAACTGAGCTTAGAATATAATTGACTTTAGGCATTTGTGGGTGAAGGAACCTGTAGTTGCCTATTGACGCAGAATATCATAAATGAGAGGCATTTGAGGTCACAGGTACCTGTTGTTACCTTAGATGCAATATGTAGGTAACTATTGTTGTCTTTTTGCATCAATAGAAAGAAATAAGCAACTGGAGGTTGAAGTACCCTTATTTGCTTATATGTTCTCATTACAAGAAGTTAAGGGCATTTGAGGTCGACAGTACCTGTAGATGCCTGTTTATCTAATTATTTTCAAAGATAAGAGATGTTGGAGTTACCATTACCCAAAAGTTGTCCAAACATGAACAATGTTATTGTCAGCTTTACAAAACGACTTCACTTACTTGCTCGTATTTTATTTCAAGTGTTATTTCATGATTTAAATAAGTCTGCCATCACAGATTATCTGTGCAAGAATCTTCACCTATTGAGAATTGGTTCATATGCCAATTTCACTCGTAAATATGGTGCAATACAATCGTAAGATAAAGGGATCGTTTAACGTTATTTAGATTTATATAATTTTGACCTGCATGAATAGTTGTGTTTCTGATGTTTTCCCTCCGTGCTTCCGTGCCTCCTCATTTCCTTATCGTCTTTTTTTGTGTAAGAAAACATGTAAGACTACAGACCAATGCCTGTTTCCATTCATCATTGTATGCTAAGAGATTGTATTATCTAAAAGTCCTTTACCTAGATATAATCAGCAGACTATAGGGTTGTATCGATTTTTCTCTCTATAAATCTTCATAAGTGGATGTATGTTGTCGTGTTTAATTCTTATATGTCCATCCCTAATTAAAATATCAAATATCAAATCAATGTTATGTTTGTCAAAATCAAAACTTTTGAATCTTGTAATGAAACTTCCTCGATAGATGCAACAATACTGATAGTTTGTGTTGTACAGTGTCTGTGTATGTGGCCCAAAGTGAAGGCCACATCAAAGGTCAAAGGCTTTTATAATTGTAATTATTATCTAGGGAATATTTGCTACGCATGAACAATCGCATTGCTTGTTATATACAAATCATGTCCCTTACTCGTGGTCACAGGCTACCGTCGCAGTTGCTTAGCTAATAGAAACACAACAACTTAACTGATGCTTGGTTTTTATGATGACAGATCGATAGAACAGGAACCGCTCGTGTATGTACTATTATGATAAACAATACAAGAGAACTGTTTCAGAATACTTAATTGTATTGATCGTAAAGAAAGGCACAATTGTAAGTAGAACATAAAACTAATTTAGTTTGCTTGTTATAAAGCTTTTTCTACACTCTAGTATCGGAATTTGCTTAATCCAAAGTTTGCCTCCATTTTATTTTTTATTAAAATAAGCTTTTAAAAAAGTCAGGCGTTGTCATAGAAATAATGTTGTTGCAGCAGCTTGTATATTTACCGTAACTTGTTTTGCCTCTTGTCTTTATTTATTATTGATAATAGTGTACACACATTAGCTGAGTCCTTTCTTGTCAATGTGCGTTGATGTAGTGGTATATATGATATTTAATTACACTATTCAAAACGTTTGTGTGCAAATATAATTTAAATGCTATATTAGGGAATACAAAAGGGAAAACTCAACTCGTACATAAATATTGACTGGTTATCTTTCATAGATTACTATTCTGAACCTTTAAATGCAATTTATCAGTCTCATTTTGGGTAGTTTCTTGCAAAATAAAGGATTAATCAACGAAATGTAATGATACGGACAAATTTAGGCCCAAACTATGTTTTTCGAATGTAACATCAGTATATAAAATTAAATGTTAGAAACACAACTGCAATAAATGTTTCGCCATTTAATAAAACAGGTAAAACATTGGTATGCATATATACTATCCTCTTTGTAAAGATTCTTGTCGCAGGTGTGAGAATGGTTTGAATTATATGCAACTCGAGATACGGTTACAGAATTACGTTTCTTTTGGGTAAAGTGGTTTAACAAAAAATATAAAAAATGCATTTTTCAGGAAATATCGTGTTAGACTATAGTTTACCTTGGATCGAGCTTATCTGACGTGGTGACCAAATGGGTTTGGACAACACACTTAGATACAACTATAAACATAAATTACAATAAATGTATACAAAGTACACGATAACTTAGATAACACACTAGTACAGGTACATTATGTGTATACATGAAGGTAGAAAACAACATAATGTAGGTACAAGTGTGTTAATACAGGTGTTCTGTAATATTCATGCATAAAACATCATTAATGCCGGGTTATTGGTACATAACTAAAAGTAACCATCAGCCAAGTTTAAGAAATACACTTGTTCCCACTTAATATTTCTCTCTTATTTTATACATGAAAACATTTCTTTTATTAAGTATATAGGTCTCAACAATTTAGCTTAAAAAAGGTACACAAATTACACGAGATTTGTTCTTCAATTACAATAATGCATGAAATATAAGATTGTAGGTACAGAGTGAAGCAGTTGTGAACAATAATAAATGTTTTGGCCTACTAACGTGTTAAAACTGTAGAAAGTGTTGAAAGAGGAGTGTTCTTTGATGTTTACAGGTAAAACAGGTTACCGATACAACTTCTTTCTTGATTATAGCAGATGTTTTTGATGAGCGTAAATTAAAGAGACAATCATGAAACGTAAAAAAAGTGTTTTGTGATTTTTGGAAAGAAGCACATCATATTTCCTTAGAAATCATAGCAATACAATGCATCATAAATATCGTATTAACTGCTTAAAATTACTAGTGAACTGATACAATTCTGTATTATTGTGAGAACAAACACACACACACATATACATGGGTCACTGTCTTGACATGTTACCTATAAATGAATAATAATTTTGATTATGTCGTCTTCCAAAAACGTTGTCGTGATTATTTACGTTATTTTTTTCTCAACGATAAAGGAACGTGTCGATAATTTGGTCAATGGTTATATGCATGTCAGCTTGAAGGCCGGGTTCTTGTCCGGTTTCATCGTAGATACAGTTCTACTTCCAGATAAAGATCCGCTCTCACATTTCTGTTTCACGTATCCAGCATTCCCTGCTCTCATGAAAACACCATATTTTTCACCGTACCGATCGGTTGGGTCAACTAGAAATTGGAAATTACCAAACCCATTCGAAACAACTTTAACGGCAGGACTTGGACTGGAAATAATAGAAAATATATTTGTAATTGGATGATTAATTTAAAAACATCAATTATATTATCTAAATAATAGTTGACGCTTTATATACGCATATATTTTTGACACCAGGTTTTGCCGGTGGCCTATTGAATACTTACATATATGAAAACTTAATCATAACTACATCTTTTGAAGCAAAAATAAAATGCATGTATATTGATATGTTTTGTTCAGAAACGTTGTAATACAAAAGCCTAGATATTATCTGTTTCCCCTTACCATAGATAATCAGACACCGATTATAAATCATCATCAATTTGTTATCTGAACCGGCTGACTTTCAAATGGTTTTTGTCTTCATTCAATTAAAAGATATATTATATCAAATTTGACAGTGATAAGCGATGCTAAATATATTTCATAAATTCAAATTTCATAGTAATGCTCGAAATAACGCAGGTAAATAATAAAACTTCAACTATCACTCTTGTCGCTGTATCCATAATCATGGCCGCAATCGGCTGTAAAGAAACGATGAGGTCAGTATCTAAAACCCTATTTGCTTGCTAGAACAGCAGAAGACAGAAACCACTATATCTTAGCTTTCTTGCTACTTATAATGAAATAGAACATTAACACTTGCACAATAAATTGCGCAAGTATACCCAATTCTTCAAAATCAACATCTATAAACCCCTTTGTATGCTACTGTATTGAAATAGAGCTAATGTATACGTGTATATGCGTACATTCTTTCAAATATTACTTTGTCATTTTAAAATAATGAATTATTAACTCCTATGTATTGAAAAAGAGCTAATGAGTACGTGTTCATGAGTACATTCTTTCAAATATTATTTTCTCATTTTAAAAATATGAATGAAATTTCGATGTCGTATTGGACACTTATACTGAGCCAAATTTGCACAGAGTTAGTTTTAAATAAACTTTAGGCAGAATGTATGTTTTCCCGTCAATTTCATAGTACGTTCAATGTGTGTATGAAATTGATCACCGAAAAATGTAAGTAATGTGTTTCCCATGTAGTGCTAACTTGTGACGGTCAGGTGACTTACTAGCTATATATAAGTATGCAAGCACTGGTGCAAACAACTGGTTAGTGCTAGGTGGAAAATAAAAATCAAAGAAAAAGTCTTTTATCCCAATCGATATATGATTTAGGTATTTTTCAATGTTCAGTAGCAATATTATCTTGTCTGCGTTCTCCTTGTTTGGACAAACCTTGAAATTAGGTGACTAGAGAGTGAAATAATGGACCAGGTAAAGGTGCTTAATTATATATCTCTTCAACATACATAGAACAAAGTAAAATATATCTATTAAGGGAACCCAATACTTACTCCATCGTACATCGTGCGTCTTGTGTACTCGCTACATGGATAAGCACTAACGTTGGTACATTCTGTGTTGTTGTTGCTCCGTCTACAACCAGTCCGGGACATCTGAACTCAATACAGGCCGCCTTGGAGTACCGGTTGTCTGTAGACTCGTCCCAGTAGGGAGATGTAAAGTAGGTCCCGTACACCTCACGTTTAGAAGAGTTGTCTTGAAGGAAGCTCTTGCTGATGATGTCAAAACTATCAAATGAAGACTGAAAAATAATGCAATTCATTAAGTATATCAAGCAAACAGCAGGAATATGTGGCAAAGTTTTTGACAATCACAATATGTGGTGATAGCATTTAATCTATCTTTAATGGGGCCGCGATGGCTAAGTGGTTAAGGCGTCTGACATTCTGCTACCACTAGCCCTCCACCACTCTATCGCGGGTTCGAGACCTACGTGGGCCAGTAATCGGTGGTTTTTTCTTCGGCAACTTCGGCTTTCCTCCACCATTAAAACCTGGCATATCCTTAAATGACCATAGCTGTTAATAGGACGTAAAACACAAACAAACCATTCTTTAATCTATTTTCAAATATGATTTAATTTTTATATTGTAAAACGAATGAACGGTATCACTGTTATTTATTTTGTGATTATGGTTAAAGGTCCAATCTTAATTTGTTTAAACATGCCATTTTAATATAACGGTATGACAATTATATTTTGTTTACAAACTCATATTTTATCTCATTTAATGAGTATTTTTGAAGGAATATAGCAAACATTGTTACAACATTAAAGAATTCGTTCAAACTCGTAAAACGTGTTGTATTACTTACCTTAATATTTAACTTGATAAAGCATGATTTATGTAGTGGATCCCCAACAGGTCGTGTATACCAGGACATTCTCTTGTTGTAGATGTTTATATTCCCAAGTGTTGGATCGAGTTTGTTTTCCTTCTTTATTGGAGCGAATTGAAAAAATCCGTCTGAGAAAGAAGGGGTTTTGCATTGTTGCTGTTTATAGAAATCATACACGGGGCTGTACATTTTGTCGCTGCCAACCTGATTAATGTACGGGTTATTGGAAACGAACTTCACTTGCGTTAAGTTTTGAATATTCTGGAAAAGGTAGTTATTTGGCAGACTATGTTGGTCAGAAGCATACATCTGAGTTGAATACGTAGCGTAGAGATATACCCAAGAATTGCAAAATATTTCTAAACATGCAATACCGTTCCCATCAGTTGCTACCCTACTTATTCCTTTGAAACGGGACCCAGATAGTTCCTTAGTTACAGCAGTAACCATGACGCCTTGTAGGTGACTGCTTTGTGAGAAGTCAGTGTATGTCCGGACCCTAACGAAGCAGGCATCGGCTTTAGGTGTTGGCGGATTCCTCTGTAAGTATCTGCTGTAAGAATAACCAACAAGGACGCTTCTATCACAGTTGGAGTAGATGGGACGTCTTATTGTCCTAGTTGTTATCAATTCCTCTGTCAGATCTATCCGAGTAATGCTACTCGGGTTTATTGTTCCTTCTATCATTTGTGCTACATTTTGTAATAATCTTCGCTTCCCTTGGGGATGGACATAACGGAATGTTCCCTGTTCTACCCATTTTCCAGTGTTTGGATCAAGATGCCACATAGATAAATCGGGATTACCGTCCTTGTCTTGTGAGATATTGAATAAACTGGCATCCATTTGTGTAGTTATTGGTCCCGAAAGGTACAACTCGCTCCCCGAATTATCCTCGAAGTGCATTCGAAACATGCCGAAAGTCTCAAGTGGTGCTGCGTTTCCGTTATCATCTAGCGTAGTAAATTGTCCATCTGCAGACTGTAGGTCCTCAAGTTTTCTTGGATCCATGAAATTAACAAAAGCATTCGCTGCGCCTTCAAATTTATTTCCATCCTTGTCCAATATCGAGTCTGACGGAATAGAAATTGTTGCAACTTCATCGTCACCGTCTAAATTATTCAGGGGTATGCTGAGTCCCAATCTAGTATTAAAGTTTGTTGGAATAGGGCGTATTGGTAAAATAATGTTTACGGTCATGGTTTTCCCAGGAGTTATCTTCAATGTTTTAATTGAGTCCAAAAATTCTCCTTTAATATCCTCCTGAAACGACAGGGTTATTTCAGTCTTTTCGAACGGAACGTTTAGCGATATCATTCCGGTAGAACTTGAATATACTAGTTTTCTACCATCAACAAAAACCTTTCCTCTTTGGAATGGCACCTGTGTCCCATTTTTCATGCCATAGGCAAACGCTGTGATTCGAGTCACAAGTGTTCCGAAGCTGCAACCGCACGTTTTGACTGTATTTAATGTAAATGAAAAGTTTTTGCATGTAACTTCGATTCTATCCACTGTTTCAACATTGCAGCATTTTGACGGCCACCATTCGTCACATGTCCCGTTATCAATGTCTGTCGATGTGATGCACGGAAGTTGAACGCATTCTCCGATATCTACTTCATTTTCCTTGGCGCCGTTGACTGAAGCAAAACATCCAGCGGGTAACCTTTCTGTTTTTGGTACAGGATTACGATCACAAGTGTCCTTTGATATATCTGAATACAAAAAAAGGAAGACGTTAGGATATATCTAACCAGATATGCCGACGCCCACGCTTTGGAAAAGTTGAGACTAGCGCGAAGATAATTAAATATAGTTATCCATAAAACATAGGTCACATTTACTTTTATTAAAGCATTAAATGCTTCCAGATGCGGTTCATAGGCAATATGAATACCCACTGCATTACATGAAAATGAAAATGACAATCAATTTTTAACACATATTTACATTTTCACGTCTATACAAAGATTCCACATGTGACCTTTTGCCTTTAACCATTTGATTGCATAATGAATAATTCTTTCCTCGCACAGCGTTTAGTCAACATGTGAAACAGTTACAGTCTAAAAACCATTATGTAAATGTCTATGCTGATATACAGACGGCTTTTTAATGTTTTAACAGAAAAAGAGCTAAACAACTAACCTTTTAAACTAACCTTTTACGCTGACTTGCACACTTTCTGATTTGACGATACCAGCAACAGATTCTGCTGTACATGCGTACATCCCCTGATCCGATTTCTGTAGGTTGGTCAACCGGAGATTTCCAGTGTTCAAGTTGTGTGCTATTTCAGTTCCGTTCTTTGACCTAAAATTAAGGAAGTTTGCTTGTTCATTTACACTTTAAAAGGGATAATAAATTAGTGACTTCCTTAAGCCAAAACGAAACAAAACATATATCTAATACTGTCAAAACCGAAAACGGAAAAGAAAGTTTATTAAATGTTGAGTGAATGGTGTCGTTTAATACAGGTACCATTATTAAGCGATGATTTCTTCGTATACAAATGTGACAATTAATTGTTTGCCGATGAATTCGCTGGATTCGAATGTGAAAAAACGCCCTGTATCATAAAGTATATAATCATAGGAATGTGTTTGCTACTCACCACGAGTATTTCATCACGGCCGGAAAACCTTTAGCGTAACAACACAGTGATGCAGCCTGTCCCACAAATCTGTACTTGTTGACTGGTTGTTTTTCAATCCTCGGCTTCTCTGTAATTTGTTAATACGTTAAATTCAAATCCATTTGTAAAAATAAATAAGTTAATCATTATTTATTAGGTAATATTATTATTTGATGTCATAAAATGGATTGAAGTTCATTCCTTCTATTGCAATATTATGACATTTCGTTATTGAAATATTGTTTGTTCATGAGTTGAACCATTCAGGTGTATTATTTTGATAAGTAATACGACACTTTCTTGGATACGATTATCTATCCCGGGACGTTTCCTAATACAAAGGTACTGAATAATAAATTTACTTATTACATTGAGAGAGTATATTATAAATATGATCACTACAACAAATAACATGAATATATTAGATTATTTCAATCATCCTTTCATTACACGTTCATATTTATACTAAAAAAATATATACACTCACTGCTATTATGAAGTTATACACAAATATTGACTTCAGGTTATGTCAATTATATGAAGTTTGATATTTCATACCACACGTTCCTCTTGCCACATTTGAGTCACTCCAAATTAAAAAAAGCAATCATAGAATCATTTATTATTATTTGTTACTGACTCGTCACACTCCCCTCCTTTAAACGTTCGTATGTTGTCTTATTACTGGTAAATATTAGCCGAACACTACTCAGCTATTTTGCTAGTTCAAAACGTATGAACAACAATCAATCAACAACTCTACAAAACACCTAATACAATATTGCAAACCATTCTTACCATATTTCCGTAACACGCCATTAGCTTGTTGAAAGGTAACATTCACTGAAACGGCCATCGTTTCATTCTGCATATACCCTTCCTTCTTGAAAAGCAGTTTAGTGGCAGAGACACATACACTTTGTACTATAAACTCTCCCCAGTAGTTGGTTGTAGCCACAGGTTCCCATTCTTTGTAGGAAAAATACACATCTACGCCATGAAGGGGTATGTTGTTGCTGTCACGAACAGTCCCAAACAAAACTTCTTGTTTACAAAGGCACACGTCACAGTCCTTTGAGAGTGTTCCCCCTGGTGGACATTTTCTACCACAGTCTGTAACATGCGGCAACAAGATGAATATTTTAAAAGCAACTGCTGGTTTACATATTTGAAACCGTCAATATGTTTGGTGATAAATACATTCGATTATGCACGATATAACACAAATGTAATTTGTCATTTGTCATTTCAGACATTCGTTCTATCAACGAAATCGATCAACACACAAATTCCGTACGAATCGGGCAATAGAAAAGTTAAGCTGCTTGGCAGACAGCAAAAGCATTTAAAGAACAATAAACGTGTGAACATTCGACACCATCAAAAGATACATGCAGAGTTATGCAGCACGAAAGGCACCTCTTTCGTCACACGAGAACTGTTATCATATGGGTGACAAATGATAACAAATTAAAGAATGGGTAAAGTTGACATCAATGAGAGCATACGGCCTAACAGGCTGATGTTGCAGCATCAAAGAAAAAAAAATTGCTGCTGGGAAAGTAATTCTTAATTACGATGTTCATATTATTTCTGAAATTAAAGCAGCCTTGTGCGCGATGGATCGCCCATTTGCTGACAACTGAACACAAAAACCAAATGTTTGAGATTTGTTCAAATCTAATGAAAAATGTTCGGTGATGGCTTTCTGAGTCACTTTCAGGGGACGAGACCTGGGTTTATCACTTTGAACCCCGGAGGCGCATTAATAACAAGCAATAGTTGCTGAGAAAACAAGAAATGCCAGTGATTGTAAGACGTTTAAATACGCCAAGATCGTTCTTTTGATATCATTAGTTTCAATAATGTATATGTACCTGGACAATTCCATTTCGAGCATCCTCGAGTCTGAATATCTTTCCCAGGACAGACCTTTCCTCCAAAGAGCGGGGGAGGGGCACCACATGTTCGTCTCCTTACATGTGTTCCCCCTCCACAGGTTACTGAACAGTCAGACCACTTGTCCCAGTACGTCCATTCACCGTCAATAGCGTCTGTTAAACGTTTTACATTTTAAATTGACCATCGTGTGATAAAATAGGCAGTCAAACTCGGTTATCTCATATTATAGCAGTTACAGTAGTTTGATTTATTTTCATGATATTAAAATGATATTTATTGTATAGTTCTTGCATACAAAAAGATTTGGTAACCCGCAAATTAAAAAAGAACTCTCCTAAGGTAAAGCAGTCTTACTTTGTGTAGAAGGATATTGTATAGAAAGTAAATAACACAAACCTGTCTCTTAAAACAAACACTGGCTAAAAAAGATAACAGCATCAGAGCTGGCTGAATTATTAAGGGATTGTTTAATCATTACTATAAGGACATCTTAGCCGTCGTATTAGGGCAGTGCCTTTTCTATGTATTAAGCCTAAATAATAATAATAATAATAATAATTTGAGGTTCTTATATACCGCTCTATCACAATCTAGTTCGTAGGTCGTCTCAAAGCGGTTTACAAATTATCCTTGGTTATAGGGCATTTGCAACCAGCCAATATCTGTCTCAACTCCCTGGGAGCATTCAGCCGCCATGTCGGCGCTGATAGCTAGCATTCATCAATTTTAACTTTTCCATGTCACAAGTTAAAAACAACTTTACAATGTAACAGATTAATTTATTTTCAAACTTGCATTATTCAAAAAGTGCCCGAACCAATTTCAACTACAAGTATACAGCCCAGGTCGGGTAGTGACGCAAGAAATCCATAACCAAATCAGAATGAACATAAATTGAATAATGAAATCCTTATGGATATACATTAAATAAGTTATTGACACAAACTTTCAATGACATATCTTTGTCCTAAAATATGTTACCTTGAACCGATGGTAGTGGGGTTCCTTTAACTGATGGATCGTCTTGATCATCTGTATATAAAGGTAAAAGATTCATATAAATATAAGAAAACCATTATAGTGGAAACACAGAAGTCTCAAATACTGAAGTCTCGTTAAAATTTGTTTTCTATCTACTTGAGTTACATCCCTTCTGTCGTTTCCTGAAAAGCACAAACACTATTATGATATCTGTACCACAAACACGCTTGTTTATTACGTTCTATCAAAACAAATATTTACTAGAGATCATGCTTGTTTGATCATTTTTATAATGAAGTGGTCAAAAGAATATTCAACAGATTATTTGTATTACAACCTCGGAAAAAGCTGTGTAACATTGCTAGCCAGATGTTTAAAGTATGATGGCACTTGGAAACAAGTTTAACTTGTAACGATCACCGACACAACCTCAGATGGGAAATTATGTTTTTGGACATTTAAGTACGAGATTAATGAAGCAACTCTTATGAAATTTTAGAGATACAAGTGAACATAATTATAATTGTATTTGTCTATGCATCAGAAACTAAAGACTCCACCCTTTCGCAATTAGCCAGCAGAATTCAATGAAAGTTTCACATAATGGTTATGTCACTATGTAGAGATGTTTTGTATGAAAATCTAAGCATTCCGATAAACTGGGGATATTTTTTGTAAAAAATACCGAAAAATAGAACTTTTGTCAAATTCAACACTTTCACATATTTTGAGCGTGTGACATTGTTCAAAACTATAACAACAATAAAATAATGAAAAGAAACATTGCTAATCAACCCTACAAATATGTTATTTTATTTACTAAATACAAGCTAAAATCAAACAGGACACATACATGTAGTTTCATACAAAAAGAGTGAAAAAATTAACCAAATACACAGTCTTTATAATTCAATTATTTTACATTTTACAATAATTTTGATCCTATGAGAGTTGTCTACCTTGAAAAAATTCGGAACTTTTTGCAGAGGGATAGGGATACAATGACACTTATTTTCTTTATTATGCCAAAAACGACGGAAACAAATAAAATTACTATATTTAATTGTCAAGTTACTGTTCTTTTATGGAACAAAATTACTCTCAATCATGTATACTTTGGACATCATTCCATAGCCCGCTTTCGCATGGTATATTAACATGTCAGGTCCATATGTAACCAAAGGCTATTGCATGTTATGCCGTTATTACGTGCACGCACATGCACTTGCATTTTATAGGGATCTTGATATTTTACAAACCACTATTTTCACAGAGTTATTGTTATTGCATTTGTGAACCGATTTATCTGACAGAGCGTAACTCGCTCCACAACAAAAGTCGTAGCGACCAAGAGCTTGTGAACTACTGTTAGCACGTGATACGTACAGGTGAGGTCGGTACACAAAACACACCAGTCTGCATTCCATGCGCCTCATACATGACGTTCTTACAGTCGTCTGATCGTATGTCAGTGTTTTCCCGTGAGTTAATTAATGTCTTTGTATCATAAGCTTTATTTCTGAAGTACGTGTAATTACACATTTCCAAGTTAAGTCTCGATATCGGGTGTTGACATATCATCGTCACGCACGTGTACTATTGTTTATCCGGTGTTACCATAATTTACACTGCGGTAATGGATTGCCCGATACCCAATACGGAAATGACGACACGAAAATACAATAAGAAAACCATATGTATCCATATAACCTACTTACCCTAACCCATACATTTACAACCAAAATACGGTATGTTTCCAATATTTTTGCAAACCATGAAGACAAAACCAATCATCATTGTAATTAGGTTTTGTAAATCATAATCCATGGAGACGAAATAAACATCATTATAACTTGGTTGATATTCAGCAGAAACAAAAGGAGACACAAAGAAACATCACTCAAAGTATGTTAATATACTAATTAGAATCAAACAAGAAACATATTAGTTATGTCGGTGAGAATCCTCGGGGTTTCTATCAAACACCCTTTTGGTAAAATAGAGGAAACAAAATATCAGAGTCTACACAATTGAACAAAAACATAAGTCAAAGTTGGTACGAAAGGAATAACAGGATTTGAGAGGACACAAAATCAAGCTAAAATTGACACGAAACGATTGGCGAATCTGAGAAGAGTAACAGGATCCGAGAAGACACTATAGGAAAATGAATGACAGCTCAACCAAACAGAGGCTAGTCGTGTTAAACCGTCATGGGAAGCGTTACTGTTGGTATTGACTTACTTTGTCAACATGAGGTCAGAATATTGGTCACAAATAATCTAAAACAGCCAAATGTCTTATCATATAAGACACCGAAATAACCTGCATGTGTACACCAAGTAGGTATGAAAGCTTCTCCGTTTATAAATAAGTAAAGCTTCTCGATTGGCCAATTAGTTTGCTGAACATGATGCTACTTTTATGAAATCTGTGTTACTTGTACGTATTGGATTAGTAACTCCACAAAACAAATTGCCTTAAAGAACGTGTTATCACTGTTTCTGCTATTCCTCTCTTTAGACTCATTTCAAGTTATTTTTTCACTCTGTACAATACCATAAACGGTATTTAACTTAAAGACGCCTTCGTAAGACGTATTATGATATCTTTCTTTTCGAAAACAGCTAAAGGTAATGTAAGTAATTGGTTTTGGAGCAAAGTCTATGGAAAGAAATTAGGACCACTCACATGTATAGATTCATGTGTCAGTATCCTTATCGATAAATCAGTTTTAATGCCCCTCATAACAAGGAATATCTATTTGTTTCTTTTGTAATGTCATGGTATGTTAAATGATATCTGATTAAAAAACAATTGATTACCACAAGAGTATTTCATCTGGAAAGGATTAGGGACGTGAATCTCGCATAATGTCTATTTAACTTTTTACCTGACAGGATTTAGTCGCATGACCTTCCAATAATGTTAATTTAGTTGGTTACCCGACAGGTGTAAGTTATATTGATTCAT